ATGAAAGATGAAAAGCTGACCATCCAACAAGCTTAATGAATCCCAGATAGGATAGACCCCAACAGAAAATCACCATGGCATATCATAATCACACTCGCTAAAACCAAAGACACACAAAGAATCTTGAGAGCAGCTCGAGAAAAACAAAAAGTCACATACAGAGGAGAAACAATAAGACTAAGTTCAGATTATTTGGCAGAAACCATGAAGCCAAGGCAACGGAATGACAAATATAAAACCTTGAAAGAAAACAATTGCCAGCCAAGAATAATATATCCTGCAAAACTCTCATTTAAATACGATGGTGAAATCAGATCATTTCCAGATAAACAGAAATTAAGGGACTATGAAAAAACCAAACCAAACATACAAGACTTATTAAAGGGAGTCCTTCGATCTGTGAACAAACAACATCAGCTCACAGGCTGAATTTAGGACACAGGATTATACGAGCCAGATACCAACCTAGGAAATGAACTCTTAAGGACTACCCAAAACCAAAAGAATTACAACAGGGAACCAGAGAGGTTATGATCTGTAAATGACAACAGCATCAGAACAATAAAAGATTAGGAATAAACAGTATAGGTATAGAACCTTCTAATGGAGAGGAAGGCAACGTGATATCAAGTAATAATAGACTGCTTCAAACCTAGGAAGATACGGGTAAATTTCAAGATAACCACAAAGAAAGTTAACAAACCTACTCAACAAAATAAAGAAGAAAAACATAAAGTCTCAGTAAAAACAAAACCTACAAAAACAGAAGAAATGAAAAAAAAAATCCACAAACAGAAGAACTCAGCACAGCGAAGTAAGAGGAACAAAGAAAACATCAGCACCACAAAAAAAAAGCACTACAAAATGCAATCCCACCCCTAGGAATATATCCTAGAGAAATAAGAACCATCACACAAATAGACATATGCACACCCATATTCATTAAAGCACTGTTCACAATAGCAAAAAGATGGAAACAACCTAGATGCCCATCAACAGATGAATGGATAAACAAACTATGGTACATACACACAGTGGAGTATTATGAAATGACAAAGAACAAGGATGAATCTCATAACATGGATCAAACTGGAGGACATTACGCTGAGTTAAATAAGTCAATCACAAAAGGACAAATACCGTATGAGACCTCTACTGTAAAAACTTACATAAAAGTTTGCACACAAAAAGAAACCATCTTTGTTGGTTACGAGGGATGGAGGGGGACTAAACAGACAATAGATAAGTGGTAACTTTGGTGAAGGGTAAGACAGTACACAATACCGGGGAAGCCAGCACAACTTGTACAAGGAAAGGTTATGGAAGCTCCACAGACACTTCCAAACTCCCTGAGGGACTGACTCGCTGGGCGGATGGCTGTGGGGACCATGGTCTCAGGGAACATCTAGCTCAACTGGCACAACACAGTTTATAAAGACAATGTTCTACATTCTACCTTGGTGAGTAGTTTCTGGGGTCTTAAAAGCCTGTGAGTGGCCATCTAAGATACTCCACTGGTCTCACCTCTTCGGGAGCAAGGGAGAATGAAGAGAACAAGATACAAGGAAAAGATTAGTCCAGAGAACTAATGGACCACAGCTACCATGGCCTCCAGCAGACTGAGTCCAGTACAGCTAGATGGTGCCCAGCTACCACCACTGGCTACTCTAACTGGGATCATAATAGAGGGTCTTAGACAGAGCTGGAAAAGGATGTAGAACAAAATTCTAACTCACAAAAAAAGGACCAGATTTACTAGCCTGACAGAGACTAGAGAAACCCTGAGAGTATGGCCCCTGGACACCCTTTTAGCTCAGTGGTGAAGGCACTCCCGAGGTTCACCATTCAGCCGAGGGTTGGACAGCCGAGGATAAAACAAAATGGGAGTAATGAGGCACAGCAGTCCAGAGACAAGGACTAGAAGGCAGGAGGGGACAGGAAAGCTGGTGACAGGGAACCCAAGGTTGAGAAAGGACAGTGTTGACATGTCGTGGGGTTGTTAACCAATGTCATTAAACAATACATGTACTGACTGTTTAACAAGAAACTATTTGCTCTGTAAGCCTTCACCTGAAGTACAATTAAAAAAAAAAAAAGCCAAGTCATAAAAGGCTGTTCTCTAGAAGCAACCATAATTGTTACATCTGCGTATCCTTCCAGATATTTTGTGTATACACAAATATACATTTTCCCTAAATATGTAATGGTGGTATGTACCGTTACATGATTTTTTTTCACTTACAATATAATTTTGTCTCTACATACAGAGTATTCCCTTTAAAGACTACACTGTATTCCATCATACCATCCTATGGATTTACTGTAGTTATTTATGTAATTATTTTCCCAATACTTCATCAAACATACATGTACTTAGATGTGCATACTTGTAAAAATATTCTTTTGGATAAATCCATGGCTCTCTAAGTTTAAGTATGCAGGAGAATTATAAGGAGAAACTGTTAAATATTCCTGAGCCACCCACGAAAGAATCTGACTCAGTTAAGTCTGAAGTTGGGCTCATAAATTAGCCTAAGCCCTCCCAAAGTATCCTCAGAATCAATGGGATAAAGATGAAACGCGGAATTGCTCTATCATACCGGATCAGAGTGTATGCTCATCTTTGCTCATGACAGATATCGATCCAAAGATCCCACACATAGCAAATGAGAGTGTACATTTCCCCAGAGCTTCCAACACAGGATATTAACCTTTCCTGATTTCTATTCAATCTAATGTCAAATGACATCATTTTATTTGCATT